GGCCGCGCATGGTGATGGCCCTTTCAAGGGCCTGGCGCCATCTCCCTCTGGAGTACCACACATGCCTCTGCACATCCTCAGGGTGCACGCTATCAATAAGAGTCAAGGCTGCCAGCACTAACTCCGAGTCGTCGCAGGCGTCAGTGTCCTGCAGCAGCATGCTACCAGCTTCGATGCTTTCTTGACTCGCGGGATATGCTATGGTTAATACCTCGCGCATCCTCATGAGGGTTTGCAATAGTGTGCGCGGTCCGTACTCGCCTGGAGTAAGCGAACCAGGGGGTATAAATGGGTCCCCTGGTACGCCCGCAACGAACGCTTGAGACTCCATTTCTATTAGTTCAGCATGATTTCGAGGATAGGTAGGCCTGTTGCCAGGCACGAGGTCGGGTGGAGGTTGGAGGTTGCGATCAACCTCTGAAGGCGAGGCCTCTACAGTGACGTCCTCGTCACTGCTCTCTTAGGCCGCGATGTTGCCTGGGTTCCCGAACACCCTGTCGAAGAAAGATAAAGGCTGGTTTCCCAGCGTTCAGTGATCCACGGGGGTGAGCTCGTTGTTGCCGACAACGAACCTGCGGAGGTACTCGAGGTAGCACGCGTACAGTCCATGGCCATACGCCTCGAGCTCGTCGACGTTGTCCATGCAGCTAACCCAAGTGTAAAATATCTGTTCCATGGCCTCAAAATCCTGGAGGCTGGGATATTCAATACATGGTTCACTTGAGCCAAAATGGACTTCGGTCGATCTGCCCTTTCCATTTCCCTTCGCTGGACAATCTTTCACAATATGATCGGTACTATCACACTCATGGCACTTTAGGATCTGGCCGTCTCTACCTCGCGGGTTTCCCCACCTACCTTTGCCTTTGCCTGAGGTATCTCTACGGCCCTTACCACGGCCTTTTCCATCGAAAAATATCATCATGCTGGTCATCTGAGAGCCTCTGGAGGAAGGCCGTGATGCCTCGTCCATTCAACCTACGACGACCCCGTTTGCGTTTACCTTTTCCTTTGAAGCTCCTCCGGGTCCTCCTCCTCGCACCACGCACTGGTTTTCGTGCGAACCTCCTCCACCTCCGCTTTGCCTGTTGTAATAACCAAAACAAGTGTTCAGCACGCTGGTTATCACTTTCCATATTCATGATATCTGACCAATCTACAGCTTCAACACCGTCTGATGATGCAGTATCGGTGTCGGTGCCGGAGTCGAAATCGTCCTCTCCCAGGTAGGTGGATACACCGTCGGTTAGGGGGTTTGATTCACCCCATAGGGAACGGTGTGGTTGAGGTTCTCTGGAAGGAGGGCTGGTTGCCCAGCTTGGCTGTGATCGATCCCCTGCTAGTAAAGCAGTGGATTCTCCAGGATCGTCAGCCCATATGCTTGAGGGCCCGTTTCCAGGCTGGGCTTCCGTGGTTAAGGTAGTGTAGAAATTCCCACTACCAGATCCCCTTCCCCTTCCAAACACTGATCCTATATTACCAGGAGACCGTTCTGATAGGTGACCTATCGAACGCATCCTCTCCAGCAACTCATCATACTGTTGTTGTGTTCGGGGCATTTGGTGATTGAGTGGCTGTAAGAGTTGCATGGCTCGCTGGTTGCCGACGCCTAAGGCACGGAATAAGATCGTAGTTAGTAGTTGACATTGGGAAGGTCAAATCCCACCGACTGTGCCTCAAGTCGGGCCATTTCGAATCGGGTGAGGGTGACGTCGATTCGTTCTCCGTGAGGCACATGAAAGTCGATGAGCTGTGTGCCGGAAGTGAGCTGGCGCTCATCTTCCAGGCGCTCGAACTTCATGCTTAGGAGGAACATGATGTAGGTCACTGGGTCGGTGTGGACCCCATCGATGTCAGCACCATAGTTTATAATGTCAGGTGGTACCCTCATGGCCAGTGTCCTCTCTGGTCCACCCAGGCCGCGTCGTATGGCGGCCGCTTGGGCCTGTGGCGTCATACGTCCACTTGTGACGTTGAGCCACGCGTTGACCTCATAAACGTACTCGCGGAAAGGTACGTTGCCTTGAGGGTCCCAGTATGGGCCATGTGTTTGCCCATCGGTGCTGTTCTCTCCACGACGCATGTGTCCGATTGCTGCCCCTAGCGCGAACCAGATATAACCAGCCCAAGGCTGTGAATATATGGGTGGTTATTAGGCGCGTTGCCGCGCTGGGGTAGCGCCTTGTCAAGTCTTCGAGGCGCTTTATCTCGCGGGTCTCCCCGCCTCTGCTTCAAGTACTGCGCTTTTGGCTCGTTGCCGAGCGGTTGGTAGTAGCGCAGTGATGAAGCGTATATGGTACGAATGTTGTCTAGACGTCGTGCCTCTCGTGTTGCTTCTTGCTCTTGAATAGATCCTCGTAAATGTACTGGGAGTGGTGGCGCAGGGTGGTAGTTGGTCACGAAGATCGTGCCGTGTAGCGTGAGGAGAAGAAGAGCAAGAGCTGACCACACGAGAGTGCGGCCAGCTCCGCCCCAAGTCGAAAGAACGTGTCTACGGTAAGTCAAATAACATCCGCTTCCATGGGAATCGAATGGCAGATAGCGTCCATTGCCCTGCTGGGGTGGTTCAGTATGGGGAATGGACGGATAAGATAGGATAAGATCGATGTAGTGATCTTTCCATCACATAGCGAACACTAAGGTAAGTGTCCGGGCAAATAGGGCGCGCGTGCCTCGAGCCAAAGGCAACGGCGCGCGAGCTATACTCCCGATTCTATATAACATCTCCCAAAGAGCTTGCCTCAAAGTAAGATGAGCTGGTGAGGTTAGGCGGAGCACCTAGAATGTCAGTAAGGGCCAGGATGTGGACTGCTGGGCCCCTGTGGAAAACTCTTCAAGCACTTCTGCCGCAAGGCGGTCAACTTCTCTTCCGAGCCTTTTTGGCTGTGGGCCGCCTTGGAAGCTTCACAAAGTACACGGACGCGCACGAGATGGCCCCTTAGCCCGCTCCAAGACAGTCCCACTAGAGTGGGCTTCCAGACGGTTCGGAGACAACCAAAGACTGCCCTAAAACGTTGGCAAGACGCCGCATGACCATCAACGACCGCTCAAGGACCCCTAGAAATGATCCAAGAGGCATCCATCAGACGCCGAACAAGACTCCCAGCGAGTTCCTCTGACACAACGCGCGTTGAAAATTCGGGCTGGTCGTCCAGGGGTGTTTCTCGGAGGCCCTCTTCGAGTCTACTTTTTTCCTCCCTTCCCGGCGGCCACCTTGGGCTCTCCCAGCTCGCTAACCCGAGGTGATTCGAGCCAGGTCAGAATCGAATCAAAGGGAGGCCCTTCCCTTTGATCCTGTCCTTGCGAGGGGGGTGTCAGAATGCGCTTCCCTTCCCTTCCCCTTTTGGGCAATCTTCGGGCCAACTCGGCCTCTGTCGGCATTTTGGGTCCAAGATACCTAAAATGGTCCCAAGACTGCACCAGATGTCTCCAAGAGGGCTCCAAGAGGACACCCACGAGGGTCCCATGAGGCACACGGTTTTTGAAAGATTTTAGGGTTAAAGTCTTTTCGATCGTCCAACGCTTCAAGACGGCCCAAGAGGCCTCCAAGATCGTCCCAAGAAGGCCCGAGGGGCTCCAAAGAGGGTCCCAACACGGCAATAGAGATCCCAAGATGCCCCCATGACGGCCCGAGAGGGTCCCACAATGGGCCTAAGAGGGGGAACACGATCCGACATTTGAGTCCTCCCCAAGATGACCCCCGAGACCCCCAGCAGGCTCCCAAGAGGTTAACGGCCGCCACGAGGGCCTCCAGGAGGGCCCACAGGGGCCCCAGGAGCCCTTCAAGAGGCCCCCTCCAAAGTTGGGCCGATGGCCACTAGACAGAGGTGGCCAGGTGTTCTGTCTCTGCTCCAGTCTCAAGATGCTCCTCAAGCTGCTCCTCAAGCCCTTGCGAGATCATCGTTAACCTGCCTTCGCGCGCTCCTCGGCTCCCTCCCGGCCTCCCCAAGGCCTCCGGATGGCCCCCTACAGGGTCGGAAGAACAGGCCGTAAAGCCTCTCCACCATGGTGGAAACCATAATTACATAGTTGATGCTTCCGATGTTTGCCTGCTTCAGGTCGCCTCGGGCAGGCTTCAGAGATCGCCCATAAGGACCAAAGTCGGCCCAATATGGCCCCAATAATGCCAAAGACAACCCCACTCTTAACATCCAGCCGTTCTAAGACAACTCAACACCGCCCAAAAAGGCGCGGGGATGCCCGAAAAGGCTTTCTGCGAGGCCCTCAGAAGCGAACAACTTGTTGGAACACCAACTGGACATACATGCTTCTACTTTCGGTACTTGTCGGCTACACACCACCTCGGTCAAGCTCCAGAGACCCACAAGCAATTCCCAAGAAGACAACCACAAACTGCATCGAGAGAGCCCCTAGATGGTCCCGAGACTGAGCCCGAGAAGCCTTCCAGACAGTCGCAGAGGGCTCCAAGACGGCCTCAAGACCTGGCCAGACGTCCCCAAGATGCTTCAAGCGAGCCTCCTCGGGAGAGCTGGGCGGAATCATTGCGCCTGAGACGGCCCAAGGAGCCCCACAGAAGCTTCCGACAAACATGCCAAAAGGAAACCGAGGCGACGAAGGAAAGACGAGAAATGGACTGCGGACAAAGAGGCGCATTGAACACCTGCGACAAATCGAAACACTGAACTGGAGCGGGTCTTAAAACCGGCCTCCTTCCTTGCGCCCGCACGGTGGCACGTGTTGCCGCAGGCAGCCGCAGGCAGCTGAATCTAAGTTGCGCAGTGGGGTGCCTAACGGATGCCCATGCGCGCGGATGTGCACTTCAATTGCTCCCCGCCAGCTGAGGGGGGCTCCTTCTTCGTGAAGGTAGCGCTGGCTTGTGTTGGCAAGGCAGCTGACAAGCTGTACTTTGCAACACTGGAGGGGGAACAAATTGGTAAGGCATGCACCGACGCCTACCGACACCGATGACGACCACTCCGACCCCTGAGCATGAAGACACGCTGCTCGTGAATTACAAAAACAGCCTTCCCTCCACAGACCGTGTGGGTAGTCCCGGTGGTGGCTGTCGCAGTTGTGGGCAGCGTGTGTGTCGTCATCGTGGTCGCGGATGTGGGCGCCGTGTGCGTCGTCTCCGTGGTCGTGGTGCAGCCCACGCTCTCGTGCAGACAGCACCACAGCCTCTTGGGCGGAGACCACGCCCGCATCAGCGCCGCGGCATCCTCGACCTCGCTGGCATCAGCCTCGCCGGCGGTGGCCAACTGACCCTGCTGTGCCGGCGGCGGCGGCGGAGCCGCGGCGTCGTCCTCAGCCTCGCTGGCATCAGCCTCGCCGGCGGCGTCAGCATCGCCGGCGTCGGCATCAGCCTCGCCGGCGGAGGCCAGCTGACCCTGCTGTGCCGGCGGCGGCGGCGGAGGCGCCGCGGGCGCCCCCCTCAACACGCCAGGCGCCGCGCCTCTGGGGAAACTGCAAGGTACCGATACCTAGGTCACCTAGCTTCGCGCATCGCGCCCCGCGATGTGCGACGCGAGGTATCTTCGCGCCCTCGCGGCGCCCCACTGGAGGAAGGCAGCGGCTCTGGCCGGTTGGGGCACCAGAAATTTGGTCAATAGAGGGGGGATGACTCCCAGGGTCCATCTGGTGCAATGTTTCACCCTGGATCCGGTTTTGACGGTCCTGGGGGCCGAAAACTGCCATGGCAAGGGATGGGAGGGAGGGGTAGGACGTCAGATATGACGCGAGCGACCCTAGCTTGTCCCTCCCCCTCCCCCCCCCTCCTCCTCCTCCTCCTCCTCCTCCTCCTCTTCCTCCTCCTCCTCCTCCTCCTCCTCCTCCTCCTCCTCCCTGGAGGCTAAACAGAGAAGAACTCCTCGAGTCCATCACCTCGAACCTCGCCCCCCGTTCCTGCCTGGCCGGAACCGGTGCTGGGCCACCTCAGACCCCAGTATACCCCCCGTTGGCGACGCTCTGGCGATGCATCGGCGATGCTTCGGCGAAGCATCGCCGCCATCGGCGTGGAGAAACTCGGGCTCCACGTCGAGCCGCCTCGCCGATGCATCGGCGATGCGGCGCGATCCGCCGACCCATCCGGGATAGCTAGCGGTCTAGCCTCCCTGAGGAAGCACTTCATCCCATGCAGGAGAAGCGCTCTCGCGTAGGACTTCCTCGCAGCCTACTCAGAAGCCGCGCCCTCGACACTCAGGCATCCCGCTCTTTTGGCTTTTCTCGTGATTTTGTCCTGGGGGATCGCGCTACCGCTCGAGACTTCCCTTGGGAGGCCTGGAGATCTAGCGTTAGGTCGGGCCTGTCCCCCTACAGGGGGATTGTGGACGAAAAATAATACATTCGCAAACAATGCTCAGACGATGCCCAAACATATTTAAAAATAGTCCCCAGACTATTGTTGGACTATTTTAGACTTTTGGCTCAAGGTCTTTTGGCTCAAGGTCTTTTGGCTCAAACACCTCCACCACACATCCGACCTCTACGTCACGAGGGTCCCACCTCCTCTCATCCTGCCTCCCTTCACTCACTACCCACATCCTTTTGAACTCACCGCTCAGGAGTGCGAAGGAGGAGGGGAGGAGGAGTAGCAGGATGACTGAAGACGAGGGGGGGGGGAGGATGATGCTCAAGTTTCAAGTGACGAGGGTCCCACCTCCTCTCATCCTACCTCCCTTCACTCACTACCCACATCCTTTTGAACTCACCCATTCCATCCTCTGTGGGCCTCGACGGCTTCTTCGGCTGCAGGTGGCGACGCGCGCGCCCCAGGTGCCCCTGTGCGGCATCTGCTCGAGGCAAGACCGCATCGGGCAGGACCAAAACGACCGGAGCGCCCCGAAGTACACACTCTGGCGACTCTACCACCAAGGAGCGCTCTCAAGCAGGCGCGATTGGGAAGTCCGTCTGCACCTATGGACCAAGATGCGGCACATCAGCATGCAAATGGTGCACAATCCCGTGAACCCGATCGTCCGGGGGGCTCTTCCTCACCAGGGACATGTGCGCTGAGCTTCGATGACGAAAATGACGATGATCTGGAATAAGATGGCCCGGTAACGATCAAGACAATGCAGAAAAAAATCAAAACACATCTTGCTCCTACCATGCGGATGGTCCGGACCCTCGGGCACGAGTTCAAGCAATTCCAGGAGATTATCAATTCCAACTTCCGCGGCTTCAAAACGACTATCGAAGCAGAGGTGGATGAACTCTACATCCAGGATACCACTATGGAAGACGACTTGGCAGCAGTACGAACTGAAATGGCAAATATGCAGCTCGACCTTCACAAGGAAATTGCCGAACTCAACGAAACGCTCAACCATACGCAGACTACAACACCGAGATCAACAACATCAACTGCGCAGGCGAAGGACACATCGACACTCGTCTTGGGAGGACTTCCACGAGACTCTCTGGCTGATGCTGAACGCTGGGCGCAACAAGTACTTGCAGACACGCGCCTCGTCGCAACCAAAGCCTACAAAGAAGGACCACCTGACGACGATTTCAAGGGCATCATGTTCCTACAATTCGACACTCCGGGCATGGCTCAGCAAGCCCAAACGCATCTTCAAGAGGCTGCCGCCAGTTCGCTCCAACCCAGAGCCGACAACAGAAGAGTATGATGCAATCTCGATGCCGCGATTGAGGCACGTGTCGTCTCCTCCCTCCTGCTCGGCTTGCGATACGTGCTGACACAATGGGGATTCGAAAAACGCTACCTCAAAGCTGATTCGGACAACGGCACCATCAAAGCTGGGGGCAAGACCATCATGCGTGCGACGATTGAGGCGGACACCTTGAATATTGTTTGGCTTGACGCGGACTGGGAAACCTGGAGTTTCAAGGCTCACCAGAATGGGCGGCAGTCCAACAGAAAACCAAAGATCGCCTTGCACAAACCAGAGCTCGTGCGAGCAAGGGCGCCGGTAAAGGTAAGCCAAATTGACGGTGTCAGGGGCGCAAGCCCAGAGTTTCACCTATCGCTTCACACGGTACTTGTAAATCGAATGACCGATATCTGGACGGGACGGGCAAAAATACCCCCTGTCCTTCGGCGGAAGGGGGCAGGAAGGGCAAAAATACCACCTACGCCTCTGACACGTCCTTCACAGATAATGCAATCAAACACGACCTCAACGTTGTTACTTGGAACGTGCGAAGTTTCACGGACGTCAAGCTCGTAGAGATCATTGTTCACATGCAGAGACACGATATCGACATTTTATGCCTGCAGAAGACCCGGGCTACCAAGGCGGAAGAGTACGAAGGCGAGAGCAGTGGCTACTATGTTATACTCTCCGGAGCGGACGCCGACGAGCGATCATGATCATGCGCAGGAGTTGGTTTCATTGTAGCGCCGGCCAGAGTTCGTAACATCAAAGCCCGAAAACAAATCTCAGACCGGATGGTTCAATTAAAACTCCGTTTGGGCAAAGAGATGTTCATAGTCTTTTGCGCTTACGCCCCACACAAACTCCGGCCGCTTCCGGAGAGGGTGCAATTCTACAGCGACCTCGACAACCACTGCGGGGCATGCTCGGCCTACGCCAAGAAAACTGTCTTGGGCGATTTCAATGCCAGGATTGGCCGCGCGGACCAGGGAGAAGAAGACTTCTTTGGAGATTTTACTTGGGCCGACGGGCCTTGACCCAGGTGGACACGCCCAACAGGGACTTGCTCGTGGAATTCTGCATTGGGCGTTCCGTCCTCGTTGCACATACCTTTACTGATCAACCCGTGCATGAGAAAGTAACCTTCATGGAAGCGGGTGCGGAGCCCATGGGAGACATTTCCGAAGACAAATACAATATCTTGGATCTCCTGCTGTGCGACGCTGCCACCCTCCATCGTATCCATGGACTGCGAAGCCACAGGGAAGCCGCTCTCGCAACAGACCACTATCTGGTTACGGCTACAGTGCAGCATGTCGAGGAAGACTCGCCGCCAGTCCAACTACAGCGGAAGGACAAGGCCGTCCTCAGAGACCCGGGAGCTCAATCACTATTTGCTGAAGTCTTTCTGGAAACCATGTGTTCCAATTCCCACATTGGCACTGCGGGCTTAGTGGACAATCTATGGGAAAACGGTGTAACAGCAGCGATCGCTGCAGAAGCGGCCCTCCCGTCCCTTGTTTCTGACAAAAGGAAGCTATGGACAACCCAGCGCAAGTTGGATTTGATCGAATGGAAGAGAGGCGTCTTTTGAAGGAGGTGAGAAAATCAACTAAAGAATATAAAACAAATTGGGTTGATTCTGCCCGGCAGCTGGGACGCATTGCGAAAGCATTGCAAACCGAAGCCCCGGAAGCAAGGGCGGCTCAAAAATCTGGACGGGGTACTTGTTGAGAGCACTGACCAGGCTGACGCAATGGCTGATTTCTTCGAGAAGGTTCAGTGGAAAATCAGACCAGCGGCACTTACCGACGAGCCCCCACTTGGAGACCAACTGCCGGTGGACGAAGCGCCTTTCTCAACACGAGAGGTTGGTAAGACAGTGTACGCGCTGAAGTAGGAGAAAGCAAGTGGTCCAGACGACATCCCTGCAGAATACTGGAAATCCATTGCTCAGACGCCAGGGGGGTTGCAGTGGTTCGCAAATCTGTGTAACGCCTGTTGGGAAACAGGCACGGTACCAGAGAACTGGAAGGAGTCCAAAATCAGCGCCATCTACAAGAACAAGGGCGCGATCGACAGTTGCGACAACTACCGGCCGATAAGTTTATTATGTGTAGCTTACAAGATATTGGCATACCTACTGTTGCAACGGCTCCAACGAGCAGACGCAGAGGACCGTCTTACTTCAACGCAGTGTGGATTCAGACGTGGACGAGGCACATCAGATGGAATTCCTATGGCTCGAAGGGCAATCGAGGCGGCCAGGGCGGCCGAAGATGGGAAGATTGCGTTCGTCGCGCTGGACTGGAAGAAAGCGTTCGACTCGATCAACATGGACGCGATGATTGCCGCCTTGCGGAGGTACGGAGTTCCTCCAAAAATGCTTGTGCTCATCGCCAACATTTACGACAATCGCCATTTCTACGTATCTGACGGTCCCCGGGCGTCCAGACAATGACGACAACGATCAGGAATAGCTCAAGGTTGCCCTCTCTCCCCATTCCTTTTTGTGATGGTCATGACAATATTGATGAGGGATGCGACGGACAAGCTGGGGCAGGACGCGAGAACAGATATGGAAATTGGCAAATTGACTATCTGATTGTACGCCGACGACGCCCTATTACTAGGTAGATCTCAACAATACTTACAATAATTGTTGGATGCTGTAGCGTGGTCTGGGGCATGAGCCGGGATGGAGCTACATTGGGACAGATTCCAGTTGATCCAGATCGGATGCGAAGTTCACTTGCGAATTCCCGAAGGCCGCATGATCCTTGCCCAAGACCACTTGTCATACCTAGGAGCCACCTTGTACAGCTCATGCTGCGTTTCAGACAAGTTGAACAAGCGGCTAGGGGCTGCATGGGCCGAGTTTGTCAAATACGAACGAGCCTGGAAGCACACAGCCGTCGGCAAGAGCAGACAAATCGAAATGATTCAAGCTCTGATTACAAGCAATGTCAAATAAGGTCGTCCTGCGGGAGGCCCGGCAGGCCCCCTACAGCACCCAGCTTCTGCGACAACAGCTCGCGCTGTTTGGAAAACTAGGTCGGGCGCCGAGCCACGATGTTCTTAGACGAGCCACGTTCCAGCCTCACACTGTTCTCCCAGCCACGGCCGCGCTCAAACGCAAGCGTGGTCGACCGAAGAGAGAAATGGCAACAGAGCTGCACATAATGACCTCGTCCAGTTTCAATTCGCACGATCTGCTCCTACAGTGCATACATATCCACGACCCTGTGCAGTGAGATGCTGCTGTGAAGCGCCACACACAACAGTGCGTCGAGCCAGACGGGCATATGTGACTTGTTGCTTTGTTCCCCGCTCCCCCCCCTTCCCCTCCTCTTCTTCCCCCTCCCCCTCCCCCCCGCCGGGCACGTTGCAAATTATGCGACCGCCGACGCGCCGCCACTCCCGCTAAGCGGCGATAGCTGGCTGGCATTGTCTTTTTTCGCCCACGCGCTCCAGCGTATGGCATGAGTGTGAGAGGGACAGGCCCGACTTAAGGCAAGAGAAAGCTCTCGAATGGGGGATCGCCTCTAAAATCGAATTCCCCCAGGATTGATTCTCTCGTCGAATCACTGGAACAACAAGAGCGTATAACAGTGGTGCATCGACGAACATGGTAGGCCATCCTTTCCCGCAGATTCGACGGAAATTCCGATTTGGGGTACGTCAGTTCGAAGCATCGATCTCCCGCTCGAAGCTCGGGACCCGTCTCTCTCCGGGACCCGCGCCCCCCGATGCCGAGAGGCGCCCCCTCGAGAAGCCGAGACGACGCCATAAGCTTGAACTTCTGGCGCCCCATCGCGGACTTCTTGGATCTGCGCTGGACCCCCCTCCCTGGCGCGCGGCGCGCGCCGGAGGCGGCGCCGGAGGCGCCGCCGCAGGGGCCCCAGCGCAGATCCAGGGCGTTTTACTTCTTCGAAGAGGATCCCAGCGCAGATCCAGATCCCAGCGAAGATCCAAGCGCAAATCCCCGGCGAACTCCGCGAGGAGCGCCAAACGTTTCATGGCGTTTTTCTTCTTCGAAGCTCCTGGCTCTGCGCCTCGCGGCGCAGCAGAAGTAGTAGTAACAATAGCAGAACTACTACTACTGCTGCTACGACGACGATAGAGGCCGACGACGACGACGACGGCGAAGAGCGCCAAACGTTTAATGGCGCCTCGCTCTGCGGCGCCGCCCGCGACGGGCAGCGCCTCGTCCGCACCCAGGCGTCGCCGCGCCGCCAGCTGCCCCGGGCTCGGCGCCGGCGCGGGCGGCAGCGCGCACCGGTATCGCGGCTGTGCCCCGAGCGCGCGGCGGCGAGCCCTGCGACGAGCCGTCGGGGACGCCGAGGATCGAGGCGAGGCGAGGCGAGGCCCGAAGGATTTTTTTTTTTAGCGTCAACCCATGATCAGCCACATGACTCCGCTGGCGTGGCGAGTGCCAGCGAGAAAAACGGCCGCGCCACGGTCGGGGCCGTGCCCCCGTGGCGCGACCGAAGCGCGACCAGGGAGCGCAGGAGACCGTGCTCCGCGCTCCCTGGTCGGGGTAGGGGGCGCAGGAGCACGTGCTCCGCGCCAACCCTACCCACCACCCACTCCATGGGTGGCCGCTTTTCGGACCCCGGGACCCCGACACGACACGACACGACACGACAGGGGGACGAAACGAACGACGCGACACGAACGACACGACACGAACGAGCGACACGACAGGGACGGGCCGCCGACCCCTCCCCAGGGCGGCAAGTGCTGGGGGGGAACCCAGCACCGCCCTGGGGAAGCACACGGGGCCTGGCGACCCCCCCGGGGGAAGGAAACCGCGCTTTGGCGGCGTCCCCCGGGGCGCGGGGGCTTTTCACCCCTCGGGCCCGGCGCTCCCCGCCTGCGCCAGGGGGACCCTAGGGTCCCGACCCCTCCCCTACGGGAGGGGCCCCCTCGGGGCAGGAGGAGGAGAAGGAGGAGGAGGAGGAGGAGGAGGAGGAGGAGGAGGAGGAGGAGGAGTGAGGAGCGAGGAGCGAGGAGCGAGGAGCAAGGAGCGATGAGGAGGAGGACGAGGAGGAGGAACAGGAGGAGGAGCAATGAGGAGAAGGAGGAGGAGGAGGAGAAGGAGGAGAAGGAGGAGAAGGAGGAGGCGGAGGAGGCGGAGGAGGAGGAGGCGGAGAAGGAGGAGGATGAGGAGAGGAGCGATGAGCAGAAGAAGGAGGAGGAGGTGCGAGGAGCAGAAGGAGGAGGAAGAGGAGGATGAGGAGCAGAAGGAAGAGGAGTTGAGGAGGAGGAGGAGGAGGAGGAGGAGGAGGGAGGAGGAGCGAGGAGCGAGGAGGAGTGAGGAGCGAGAGGAGCGAAGAGCGATGAGGAGGAGGAAGAGGAGGAGGAGGAGGCGGAGGAGGAGGAGGAGCGGGGAGCGCGGAGGAACAGACGGAGGAGGAGGAGGAGGAGGAGGAGGAGGAGGAAAAGAAGGAGAAAAAAGAGGAGGAAGAGGAGGAGGAGGAGGAGGAAGAGGAGGAGGAGGAGGAGGTGAAGGAGGAGGAGGAGGAGGAGGAGGAGGTGAAGGAGGAGGAGGAGGAGCGTGACATATTGAGGAAGAGGGGCGAGGAGGAGGAGGAGGAGAAAGAGAAGGAGGAGAAGAAGAACGGAGGAGGAGGATAAGGAGGCGGAGGAGGAAGAGGAGGAGGAGGAGGAAGAGCGAGGAGAAGATGGAGAATTAAGGAGTGAGAAGCGAGGACCGAGGATGAGGAGAAAGGGGAGGAGGAGGAGCAAGAAGGAGGAGGAGAAGCAAGAGGAGGAGGAGGAGGAGCGAGGAGGAGGAGGAGGAGGAGGAGGAGGAGGAGGAAGAGAAGGAGGAAGAGCGAGGAGCGAGGAGCGCGGAGCGGGGAGCGAGGAGGAGGAGGAGGAGGAGGAGGAGGAGGAGGAGGAGGGAGGGAGGAGGAGGAGGATGAGGAGGGAGGAGGAGGAGGAGAAGAGAGGAGTAGGAGGAGGAGGAGGAGGAGGAGGAGGAGGAGAAGGGGGAAACGGATGAGGAAGAGGATGAGCGAGGAGGAGCGAGAAGAAGGAGGAGGAGGATAACCGAGGAGGAGGAGAAGGAGGAGGAGGAAGAGGAGGGGGAGGAGGAGAAGTGAGAGTGAGGAGGAGTCAGGAGTGAGGAGTGAGGAGTGAGGAGGAGGAGGAGGAGGAGCGAGGATACATGTGGGGAGAAAACGGGGGGTGGACCTCGTCGCGGCGGCGAGCCCCGGGGAGAGCGAGAGGGGGCACGCCTGCTCAGAAGGCCGCAGGGCTTTTTCAGAAGCTCTCTGGCCTTCTGAGGAGCAGCCTGCATCTTCGGAGAAGGCCTTGAAAACTTCTCAGAAGGCCAGAGGCTTTCCGAGCCTTCTGAGAAGACACGCCCCCTCTCACTTAGCCCCCAAGCTCGCCGCCGAGTATCAGATGCTCGCCCTGGGGACCTTCCTGGAGCCACACCGCGTCGAACGCCCGTCGACTGAAGTCGAGCTGGAGCCGAGCTGGAGCCGAGCCGGAGCCGAGCCGGAGCCGAGCAAATGTATCATCCGTTAGGTGGACCCCAGAAAAAAAGGTCACCCGAAGCGAACATGAGGTGGCGACCTTCGAAACCTACCCCCGCCAACCGCCGATTCTCCGGAATCGATGGGAGGCGGGGGCAGGGTTCGGATCTCGCCACGTGCTCGACGGCATCCGAACCCTACCCCGCCTCCCATGGAGTTGCCTGCATCTTTGATCTAGAAGAAGACTAAATTGAAGGGGCCCCAGGACACACAAATAAATACACACACATAAACATCTGCCCCATAGTTTCTCATATTTTCTGGGCTTTTGTCTTCCCCCCCACTTCCCATATTTTCCTGTATTTTCTGGAGAATCGACGATTAATTGTGTCTGTGTTTTTCCCCTCCTGATAAATGCCATAAACATAAACCTTCTGGCACTCCGCACGGATCTCTTGGACCTGCGCTGGGCCCCCCCCTTGGCGAGCGCGGAGCGCGTGAGGGGCGGCGCATGATGCGCCGCCAGGGGGAGCCCAGCGCGGACCCAAGAAATCCGCGCGAAGCGCCAAAAGTTCATTCGGGCTGGGCGAAAGGGGGGGGTAGCAAAGGGGGGGGGGGAGAATCAGCTCACGTAGCTGATTTTCCCGGCGCCTCCCGGCGCCGGAGGCGGCCATGTATCGAGGAATGGGCCCCTCGGTGTGGCCGAAACCAGCTGCATGCAGAAGATTTCGTAACCCCCCCTTTCCCTATCTCCCCCTTTCGTCCAGCCCGATTTATGTTTATGGCGTTTTTGTTCTTCTTGGATGATCAGCGCCGGGAGGGCTCGTTTTTCGCCGCCGAAGCATCGAACCTGCAGGTCGGCCACGGGCTCGGGCGCCGCCCGCGAGTGCAGGAGCCACAGCGCCAGCAGCGACCCCAGCAGCACGGCGAGCGTGAGGCAGAGGCAGACGGCGCGGCTGCCCGGCTTGGCCCCGTACGGCGTCGACACGGTCTCGGGCGCGTAGCTGCCCACGCCGTCGCCGACGAAGTTGTACGAGCACACCTGCCCATCACACGTCCGGAGGGAGGGGAGGGGAGGGAGGGGAGGGAGGGAGGGGAGGGGGAGGAAGGGGGAGGGTGGGGAGGAAGGGGAGGGGAGGGAGGGGAGGGGAGGGGGAGGAAGGGAGGGAGGAAGGAGGGGGGAAGGAAGGGAGGGAGGGGAGGGGGAGGAAGGAAGGGGGAGGAGGGGAGGGGCAGGAAGGAAGGGAGGGAGGGGAGGAAGGAAGGGAGGAGGGGAGGGGGAGGAAGGAAGGGAGGGAGGGGAGGGGGAGGAAGGGGGGCCGGCCGGGCCCGGAGGAGGAGCATATGTGCAAATGCCGCTGTGACCGCCCCGCGTCTGCACGGCCGGCCTCGCCCCGGCACCGCGGCCAGGACGCGCCGCCGGAGAGGTCCGGGGAGCAGCGGCCTCGGTACTCCAGATTTCGTAATAAAAGGGAGGGGGTCTGGACCCTCCAAGACAAGCCATTTCAGACCCCCCCCCGTGGTAGAACCCTCCAAAACATCGTCCCCAGACCCCCCAGGTCCTCCAAGATAGCCTGGAAGAGACCCCACCCCGAAATGAGACCCCCTCCCTTTTATTATGAAGTCTGGAGTACATTTCTTCGTCCCACCAGGGGCAAGGCGACGGGTTACGCCGGGCACGTCCCTCTACAGGAGGAACACTCAGAAATAGTAAAAACATAGTCTGGGGACGATGTTCTGCAGTTTCGAAAATTCAATATGTTTGATCTAGTTTGTATTTTTCGTCGAGAATCTACCTGTAGGAGGACACGCCCGACCGAAGCGAAGGGGGCGAGGGTGTGGGAGGGAGCACCAGGGCCGCACGCAGCACCGGGCACGCCCGCAGATGGGCACGCCCCGTCTGCAGGGGGGGCGCTGCGGGTGCGGCGCCGGGGCGCCGGCGCACCGGGAGCAAAGGACAACAGGAGGTATGACGACCCCTATCCCAGGCATCGTGGGGTTTTCTAAAGGGGCCCCAGAACACACAAATAAATACACACAAATAAAAATATTCCCCATATTTTCTAATATTTTCTGGGTTTTTGTCTTCCCCCCCAATTCCCATATTTTCGCATATTTTCCTGGGCATCGACGATTAATTGTGTCTGTGTGTTTTTCCCCTCCTGATTTTCGAATGGGCCGAGCATTTGGGGCCCAACCCTGGGATACACGAGGGGGGGCGCCCACCCTCGATAGGGGTGCGTCCCAGTAGGGTAGCCCCCTGGGGGTGTATCCTAGGGCTCCCCTACTTGTCTTCGCCGCTCCATTTCTCGTCGAAGAGTCGGGGGTTGGGATAGAGACATCGCCTGCGAAAGGAGGCCCGAGCAGACGTGCACCTCGGCCTCGTTCCAAACTCCGTTGTCAGGGGAGCAAAGAATGACACGAGCATAGAAAACTCGGAGGTCCGCGCGGATTTCTCGGATCGGCGCCGGAGCCCCCTCTCTGGCGCGCGGAGCGCGCCAGGGGCGGCGCCGGAGGCCCCGCCAATTTTCTCCAGCGCCGATGCGAGAAACCTGCGCGGACCTCCGAGCTTTTTTTGTTGATGTCATGGTTCGTTCCCCGTAGTTGTGGGAGGGAGGGCAGGATCAATCGGGAGCGGCCAAGAGGGGGGTGTCCAAGTGGCGGGGGTGCAAATCATCACCGGCGGCATGTGCGCGGCCCAGCGGGGGGGGCCAGGGACGCCATGAGATAAGACGAGGCGCCGTGAGATCTGGGAAGTTAAATATCGTGGCCCCCGCCATGAGATCCACCCCCCCTAGCCATCACCCCCCTCTCTGCCGCCCCCGAATCAATCCACGTCGGATCGGGAGGCCGGGTCGACTCGAGCTGTGCGTCAGGCCAGTAGGGGAACAAAAAGTGGCATAAACATAAAAACTCGGAAATCCGCACGGATTTCTCGGATCGGCGCTGAGGCCCCCTGGCGGCGCCTCCGGCGCCGCCCCTGGCGCGCGGAGCGCGCCAGGGAGGGGGGTCCAGCGCCGATCCGAGAAATCCGCGCGGACCTCCGAGTTTTTATGTTTATGTCACTCTTTGTTCCCCTAATCCAGCGGCCCAGGGAGCCACACATAAATCTACAGGCCAGGCCGCATCGGCACACGTGGGGCCGCCCAGTGGCGGCCGGCACCCGTGCGGGGCCGCCCGCGCGGCCGCGGCGGGCCCGCGCGGCCGGCCAGCGGATTCGGCCCGCGGCGAGGAGGCCTCGGCGGCCCTCTCGGCGCGCTGCTGGGGGCGCCTGCCCCCAGGGGCGTGTGCGCGACGTGGCCGCGACGGCGTTCGAGGGAGAAGAGGCCACAGGAAGGGTAAGCTCTTGGCGCCCCGCGCGGATCTCCTGGGTCCGTGCCGGACCCCCCTCCCCGGCGCGCGGGGCGCGCCAGGGGCAGCGTCGGAAACGCCGCTGGGGGGGGCCCAGCGCGGATCCAAGACATCCGCGCGGAACGCCAACAGTTTACAGGTGTACACGGCGGCGCTGTTCTTCTTCGAGCGACCCCACTTCTCTTCGGCGTTCCCGGGGGGGGGATCTGGGCCGATCCGCCCGGGGAGGAGAGAGCCACCGGAAAGCGCCGCACCTGCGCCCCTCGTGCCCAAAAGCTGTTTCCTCTTGGAGGCGTGCAGGGCTCTCTGGTGGACTGGCGCGCGAGGGGGCGCTGAGCGGCAGCGCAGCGGCCGCGCCCAGCAGCTCACGCCGGCGCCAGGCGGGCACAGCGGGCCCCGTCGGGTCGCCAGGGAGCCTCCTCCTCCTCCTCCTCCTCCTCCTCCTCCTCCTCGTTCCTCCTCCTCCTCCTCCTCCTCCTCCTCTCGCTCCTCTCCTCCTCCTCCTCCTCCTCCTCCTCCTCGCTCCTCTCCTCCTCCTCCTCCTCCTCCTCCCTCCTCCTCTCTCTCCTCTCCTCTCTCCTCCTCGCTCCTCCTCCTCTCCTCCCTCCTCCTCCTCCTCCTCCTCCTCCTCTCCTCCTCCTCCTCCTCCTCCTCCTCGCTCCTCCTCCTCTCGCTCCTCGCTCGCTCCTCGCTCCTCGCTCCTCGCTCCTCGTCCTCCTCCTCCTCCTCCTCCTCCTCCTCCTCCTCCTCCTCGCTCCTCCTCGCTCCTCCTCGCTCCTCCTCGCTCCTCCTCTGCAAGCGCATCGGATCCTGCTGCTGCCGGCCGTGATGCAGCGGAGGCCTGTCCACAAGAAGCTCGCCACAAGGAGCGCAACCCTGAGACCCCAGGACGTACATGAAGGGCCCCGAGGACACACACACATAAATACATAAATACACACAAATAAAATGATTCCCCATATTTCCCCATATTTTCTGGGTTTCTGTCTTCCCCCCCACTTCCCATATTATGTTCCCATATTTTCTGGGGAGTCCACGCTCAAGTGTGTCTGCGTGTTTCTTTCCCTCCTGAAGGACGTCCGGTGACTTCTGGGGTGGGAGCGTCGAGCTCTCCAGAGCGGGACCCGCCGCAGCCAAGGAAACCCAGGGCACCCTGGAGGCGAGCAGGGCGCTCCCAGGCATGGGGCGCCGCCGGACCGAAGCGAAGCGATCGGATCGCAGTGGGCCGGCTCGGGGGAAGCATCGACCTGCAGGCTGGCGCTACACCGCCGATGGATCGGCGATCCGCGAGGAGTGGGCAGTGGAAGGGACCGATGCCTCCCCACCTCAACCTGCCCCCCCCCCCCTGACATTGCCCCTCGGCTTTCGGGTCGTAGCTCGGCTCTTCTCCGGCGGCCGTCCGGGGCTATCCTGGCACTCCTGGAAGGTTCTCGGCGAGGCGCAGCTGCTAGAGAGCATCGCGAGGCTGGAAAACCACCGAGAACCAAAGAACACGCTCGAAAACCAAAGAGAACACCAAAGTAGCTCCTAAGTCCATCCCCACCGAACGTTGCCCCTGAGGGGGCTGGGGGGCCTACAGCCATCGTGCTACCATAAGGCATGCTGAATTCGCTGGCCCAACGGGCCAGAGGCTTGCTAAGATCTCCAGTAACAGGTTAACAATATTTCTAATTCGCGCGCGCGTGGCGGCCCCTGGGGACCCCCGGACGCAAAGTACCCCGGCCGGTCCGACTCCAAGAGGGCCCCAACAAGCAAAAATCGCCCCATTCCCTTTGGAAAACTTGTTTTTTCGCATGCACGACGTTTCTCGTCTTTTCGGTTTCCCAACGCTCCAAGATGGCCCAAGATGCCCCCAAGACCGCCCCAAGATGGCCCAAGAAGCTTCCAAGAGGGCCCCAAGAAGGCCCAATATGGTTCAAAGACAGCCCAAGAGGCGCCTAAGATGGCCCAAGATGGCCCCAAAACTGCCCCAAGAGAGGCCCAAGACGGGGACGAGGAACCGACAAGTCCAGCCTTCAGCCCCAAGGGGCCCCCAGGAGGCCCCAACAGGTCCCCAAGCGGCCCCAAGGGACCCCCAAGAGGCACCCCAAAAGGCCCCCAGGAGGCCCCAACACGGTCCCGAGGAGACCTCAAAACTGCGTCCCAGAGGCCCTCAAGAGGACCCAACGCGGCCCCCAAGCGGCGAGGCAATATGGGCCGGCGGAATGAGCGAAGCGATTAAATGAGGAGCAGAAGGACCTTTTGTGGCCACGACGAGCTTCGACCACGAATGGGGTTCCCCGACCCAGGTCTAAGGAACGACCCGAAAACTAGTGACCCCTCTGAGCTCAATGTTGCTCCCATCGTACTTAGGACCGCATCCCAGAAATAAGTTCGAGCACCCAGAAAATGATCGAAATAATGTCGAACGAGTATCGCCTCCAAGGGCCCGACACGTGAAACCCTCAAGTTCCGGGACCTTCTGGCGATCAAGGCTAAAGTAGGTTGGAACATCATATATGAGCCCAATGTCGTCCTTATTTCAGCGTCTTGATTGTTCCTCATTAGCGTTTGCGTGTCTTCGCAAAACTTCACTGGATATCCTACCACATATCGATACAAGACGTCGCCTAACGAACCAAGAACACCGACCAAACCGACCTCCAATAAACAAGCTCATGCTACGAACCGTGGCCTGAACGACAAGTGGGCAATAGAGTTGCTCTGCATGCGTATGGATATCCGCACATGGCCCATCGGTCGGAAACAATCGGTAGAAATATGATGTAGAAAGGCGGGAAAAGTAGATTGGGTTCGGGTCCGCCCAGGGTAACGAGACGCAGCGAAAGCATATCGACTCTGGAAGGAGGGCGCTTGAAGTAGATTTGGTTCTGGGAATCCTAACATACATACTTTCAACGACCGATGGGTAACGTTGCCCCTGACACTGGAGATGAGGAGGATCCCTGCGCCGCCTGCTCGTACCCACCGCGGCCCTCGCCCACGTAGGACCACATGGTCCTTCGGAGGACGCTTGGGCGCCCCTGTACCCTCCGGTCCTCCGGTCCTCCTCCTCCTCCTCCTCGCGTCCTCCTACTCCCTTTTTTTTAACCTCGCACCGCCGTGCCTCCGAGACTGGACTGCCATGCGCTGAGCCGAGACACACACAGAGCATGGCCACGGCCGCGCCACGGTCGGGGCCGTGCCCCCGTGGCACGACCTAAGCGCGACCAGGGAGCGCAGGAGACCGTGCTCCGCGCTCCCTGGTCGGGGTAGGGGGCGCAGGAGCACGTGCTCCGCGCCAACCCTACCCACCGCCCACTCCATGGGAGGCCGCGATTTCGGACCCCGGGACCCCGACACGACACGACACGACACGACAGGGGGACGAAACGAACGACACGACACGAACGACACGACACGAACGAGCGACACGACAGGGACGGGCCGCCGACCCCGCCCCAGGGCGGCGAGTGCTGGGGGGGAACCCAGCACCGCCCTGGGGAAGCACCCGGGGCCTGGCGACCCCCCCGGGGGAAGGAAACCGCGCTTTGGCGGCGTCCCCCGGGGAGCGGGGGCTTTTCGCCCCTCGGGCCCGGCGCTCCCCGCCTGCGCCAGGGGGACCCTAGGGTCCCGACCCCTCCCCTACGGGAGGGGCCCCCTCGGGGCGTCCTCCTACTCCCGCCTCCTCCTCCTCCTGCTCCTCTTCCTCCCGGTTCCTTGCTCCTGGTGGCATGAAGTCCGTGCGGGCGCTGCCTCCCCCTCCCAAGGCTGGTCGGCCCTGGGGAAGCGATCGAACTAAACAGCCAGGTCACGTGTGTGACCAGCTGTGGCTACGAGAGAATTGTTGGAAAAAGAAAGCAGACAAATAGTGACGAGGGGAGGAGGAAAGAGAGATAAGGAAACGATTACATAAAAAAGGGAAGAGAAGGCGAGGGGTGGCAGACGCATGGCTACACCATTAAAGCTGCGCGATCATGTTGGATGTGGCGGTCGCCCTGTTGTAGTATCACTCCCTCCGCCCATGAAAAAAACACCCCATCCTGCAGGTGGCGACTGCGAGACCGCATGCAGTGGGCTGTCCGAGTGGCGTGGCAGCTGCGGAGGTAGGAAAGGTGGTCGACGCTGCACGAGCAGGCCAAATGCGGCGATCGCCTATGCTGGCCATCGCTCGGACGTTCATTCCTTGTGTTTTTTTGTTTCGTTCGTATTTTTTTCGCCGAATGATCAAGGATGCTCCCCGATGGTCCCCGCCGAAGGAAAAAATGCACACGTCCGAGCGATGCCAAGTATGTCGATATCCCACCCCGTCATGTAGGTTGCGGCTGCGACGCTGCACTGAGCTGTCGTGGCTGTTGTGGCAGATGCTGCGCTCGGACGGGCGCTCCATTCCACGTGTATTCTTCGATTTCGTGCGTGTTTTTTTTTTCCGCAAAATGATCAAAGATGCTCATCGATGGCCGTCGCAGAAAAAAAATGCACACGTCCGAGAGATGGCAAACCTCCTGATGGGAGGCGCAACACATGCGGCGACGGGGGGGCGGACACATGGCTGTAACCGTGAATCCTATCATGATAATGGTAAATGCAGCATTCGGCGTTGAGGTTGGTGAGGCGAGCAATAACATGTTAGCGTGCCGTGAAGGTGTCGAGGTAACGGTCCGTATCTACACTGGCGGGGGTGGACAACACAAAATTGAGCAGGGACCGACCGTCCCGGCATTCCTATAGTCCTACAACGAAAGTCTCGTAGAACCCAAGCATGTTCTAAGAACAAAAACATGTTCTTAGAGCACAAACCGATGTGATAAAACAAGACAGTCCCAACCAGAAATGTTCCAAGAACATTTCGTGGGAACCACAAAAGGTTCTTAGAACATTGTTTGGTAGGACTATAGCTATCGGCGAGCCAGGACGCTTCGCTACTGCTTGACAAAAGGCTTTTCCCTCTGCTCCTGGGACCCCCTCGCAAGCGTCCCCAAGGTCAAAGACGGGATCCCTCGCCTGCAAGCAGGCGTAGGGTTCCCGGTGCATTGACCGGCCGCCTGGGGGGGCTCCACCGAAGAGCGAGGGAGCTTGTGCCTTCCACGCTGTGCTGGGACCTCCCGCGCTCGCCTGTAGAGTGTGCGGCCACGCTCGTCGAGGATAAAGGGCATCGGGGCCTCTCCCCTCTGCACGTAGGGACACCACCACTCGGGAGCGGCCAAGAGGGGGGTGTCCAAGAGGGGGGGGTGCAAATCATGACCGGCGGCATGTGCGCGGCCCAGCTGGGGGGCCAGGGAAGTAATGAAATAAGAAGAGGCGCCACGAGATCTGGGGAAATATCATGGCCCCCGCCATGATATCCACCCCCCCCTAGTCATCACCCCCCCTCTTTTCCGCCCCCGAACCACAGCGCCCACCATCCCCGCGACTGGTGTTCTCCCCGGGCGAAGCAAAGAGTTCGGTATGCCCAGGCCGCGGGAGCGGTGGCCGCCCCGGGGGGCGCGGGGCCCGCCGTGCTTGGGGGAGGCGCATGCCCTCCCTGGTGATGGCACGGCCGTGCAGGGCAGTTTTTAACACATGGGACGTTTAAAAGTATAGGATGTTTGATACATGAGCAATGTATGAATAAATCTCTGCACGAACGCACCGTTGTTTTGTAATGCTGCATCCCTGCATGTTTGATGCATGCTCCGCACGCGGAGCATGTGTTAAAAACGGCACTGTAAGAAAATGGTCGCCCCCCACGCCCAGCCCGATGAGATCCGATCCCACACCCACCGCGGAGTGCGAGGCAGCGTGGCAATCCCGGAGGGTGGCGGGGAGTGTCGGCTGTGGCTCCGCGCGCCGCGCGAGTGCATCCCGAGCGGGGCGTCGGGCATGGCTGCGACGCTCCAAGCGGTCTGTTGCGATGCAGCCACCGCCGCCCTGGCCCGCGCGGCCTGCGGCGAGCCCCCCAAATCCCCCCTTCTGCCAAAGCCCATTGCCAACCAATCTCTGCCGCGAGAGAGGGGCGGTGGGAGGCCAGCGAGGTGAAGACGGGGGGAGGGGCTGCGAGGAGGTGAGCCAGGAGCGAATGAAGGTTGGAGGTTGGTGGGAGCCTTCATGGTCTGGCTCGCTCGTGGATGAGGAAGTTCTGCTGGCACCCACTGTCGTCGCCCGTGGGTGAGAATGTTCTGCGTGGACACATGCTTCGCGTACGTCGGTCGACGCGGCATCCGTGGGAGGGCAAGCCCTGTTGGGGACCTACAGCATTGCATAGCTGTGCTTGCTTTTCGCGCCATGCGCTGTTTTGCGTTGCTGGGTGTCTGCGGCGCTACTGCCGTCGACGCAGATGCAGGCAGTCCACTGCCCTCGCTGCGCGGTGCCGTTGGGGGGAATAGGACTGAGAGCAGTTTGCAACCAGCTATTCTGCTGCCAATGACGTCGATGACTGCGTGCGTCTTGGCGCACGAGTCGTGCCGAGACAAGGATGACGTACGGAGCAGCTGGTGCGATGTCGCGTCTGTCCTCGAGCAAAACTGCTCAATGGTGAAATGCGAGGTTGGCGGAGCACTGATGGGCCGCCGTTCGGCCGGTCCAATCTTAAAGCAGGCGCCTCAAGGTCGGTGGCGATGAGGGGGGGTGGGGGGTCTCCGGATTCGCCGTGGAGTCGTTGTCCAATTGGTCGAGGTGGCGCGCGACGTCCCCAGGCGGCCACGGCTGCCACTCCTTGTCGGCTTTGGTCGTCGCGCCCGCTTCGGAGCTTCAGCCTGCTGGTCTTGCTGCCCCACGGGGTCTCCTTGTCTCCCCCTTGCGCATGGGTCCCCAGCGATTGCGCGTTCTCAGACTGGCTGGAAAGGATTGGGTGGAGAAATCGACGACGTGTCGCTGTGGTCTGTGATCGTAGGGCAGAGGTCTGCAAGCACCTACTGGTGGTCGCTGTGCGTCAGTGCTAGCTGGGCGTCAGCGTTCGAGCCGCTGCGGGTCGGCCCCCGCTTTCGCGGTTGGCTCGGCGCGCTGCCCTCTCGAGGTTACGAATTGAGCGAGAGCTTCCTCTAGGCGGTTGATCCTAGCGACGGCGTTGCCGAAACTGGTCGCCTCGCTCTGCATTGCAAGTTGCTCTGTCGGCCAATCTTGATGTCGCTGCTCGATCTGTGGGTTAGAGCTCGTGCCTGCTTTGGGCCGGTTACTAGTGGCTGGATCTCGCGGCTGGCCCGCTGCGCGGTGATGCTGAGTCTCGCGATCCCGTGGCTCGGCTGTCAGGTCAGAGCTCGGGCGTTGATCCGCTCGTTGATCTCGATGATGGCAGCGGCGGCGGTGCCCCTCCGGCACCGGGTGTTGGGGAATGGCACGGGCTGCGAGGTAGGTTTGTAGCGTGTGCCTACTTTGATTCGCGTGAGTCGGCTGCGTCTTAAGTTGTTCACTGCGGCTGGCGAAAGTATGTCGTCGCCGCATCGCGAGCGGATGTTCGGCGAAGTGGGCGCGCGCGCTGCCTATGTGCCATGGTGGAAGGCGTTTCCTGTAGTCCTTCGTACATGAGGGCATCGGTGAGTCATGCTTCGACGTGCACCATGGTCCTGTCGCGCTGAATGTACGCGTTGTGGCAGTCGTCCCCGACGATACAGTGGTCCCCCGCTCTATCCACGCCGTCGTAGTCTCGAGCAATCGGCTTGTGGACGTGGGCCTCGAAGAGCGGAGCGTTTCGATCGCACTGGCAATCGCTGATGTTGTTGGTCAGCCGTGCGATCATGTCCTCGCGTCTTTCGCTGCATCCCATGTGGTGGCTGCGCTCGCTCAAAGAGTGTGTCCATCTGGGCTCCACCAAAGTGCTTTGGCTTTAGTTGTGGGCCCCCTGTTGTGAACTGTCCCGGCGTGGCCGCCGCTGTTGCCTGACGCATTCCGCACGCTGGTGCTCAGTGGTGGCGCATTGGGTGGTAGCTTGGATGGGACCTCCTGGCGGGGCGCGCAAGCCTGAGTGGCACTCCTCGAGGCGCCGCCATCCCCAACTGACGTGTTCCGCTGCTTCGGCATGCCTCCTGGTCCGCGGGTGCTCGGCA